GATCCAAAAAATATTGAAGTCCTGAAAAATATATTAACTAATTTCTCTGAGCTTTTAAAAGACTATGAGGACTTTAACTACTGACAAGAGTGTGGGGTTTTTTGGTTTTACCAAACCTAGAGAGATATGCAATCTTCTCCCAGTATTTTCCCCTACACCTTATTGTTGTCTTTAGCTTTAAAGTAATGTAAGAATGTTCCTACAATTTCCTTTCAGATAACTTTTCCTGATCAGGGACGAAGTTGCTTCTATTACCTTAAGTGTTTTTATATAAACATAAGAGACTAATACACTAATTATTTTGGTTGATATTTCAAAATCAGTTTCATTGTTTTGACCTTTGTCATACCCACTCGACTAGAAAAAAGCAGAATGGCAATTTGCTGGAAAACATAAATGGCATTTTAATGCATTTTTCCACTCTTTTAAAATATAGTAATTATTTTCCAGTGTATCAATTGCTGTTTCCCAGACTTTTCTAGAATAGTATTTAAAATGAAAGCCTATGTTTTCACTAAGCCATTCTCTGTTATTGGTCATATTTTGTCATCCTTCTCTTTACATTTACATATTTACTTATATTAAGCAGTGTATAGCATGATGAGAAGTAGAAAAAAAAGGTAAAGTTCATTTCATGACAACTTTGGAAGTTGTAGAATGTAATTTCCTCCCAACATACATGGAATTTCTGCCTGTTTTCAGTACTTTCATCAAAACATCCCTATTCACACTGAGTAGATCAGAGTTTTAGTACAGGATTCTCTTTACATCCCCTAAAGAGTCTATGCTGTTCCTTGGAACCCTTACTGTCCAAAACATGCTCAAAATTGATACAACTCAATTAAACATTTGTGTCAGGTCAAAAACAAGCTTTGGCCCATGAAATAATTTCACTGACAATATTCTAACTAATAGTAATACCAGAAAATTTAGCTACAAACATATGTCCAGAGGAAAAAAATATTTCTGGTGTAAGAATATAATACTTGTTTAACTACTTTACCAAAATGGAATATTTCAGCTGCATAATCTCTCTTGAGGTAATAAACACTGTATTATTTGAAGTTTAGGTCAGGACAAGAACTTTCTATGACTCTCTGTGTTTTGAAAGAGAACAGACTCAAACTGAAAAGCCTAAATTTTTCCCCCCTAATGTTTTACTTTGACCTGCAGGCTTGTTGCTCTTCGACATTTTCAGATTTTTCAAGACTTTCAACTTTGCAATGAGAATCAGCCTCGCAATGAGAACTACTTTCAACACAACCTTTTTATGTAAACACAGTTTCCTGTTTTGCTTCATAGCAAAATGATGAAAAAAACCTCCTAGCAGCTATGCTGTCTTATCACAACAGGTACTATATTTGTGATCATCTCTTGCAACACAAGTATTTTGTAGACAATAGGAAAGAGCTGTATTCTGCTCAGGGGCCAAGAGTTCATATTACAGAGCCAGGACTTGGTTTATGGGGACTTTGGTGTATGTCATTAGACCTAACACAGCCCAAAGAATGACACATATTTTAAGAAAAAAATACTTTTATTAGGCCCACAGAGATAGTTGTGAAAATGAGATATTAGATAAAGCAGATTACTTTTCATGCAGATGAACTACTTTTTGAGTCTAAAGTATAGAGAAAATATGAAAGTAATTGTAGCTTGTTGCTTTGAATTCTATTTGGTTATCTTGATCAGTCAAACATTTGAGAGAAAAGTGTTTTCTATTTTGGGAGCAGAGGGTGATCCTGACACTATTAAGAGTATAAGTGGTGACAGAAGCTGAATGATCAGAGCAAACAGTAATCACGGACCAGCAAGACTTGAGAAATATGGAAATTCAGAAGCCTTTGTCAAGTTCATCTGATATGAAATCTGGTATCTGATAGAGTTGCACATTTTGGTTCTCTGGTCCATCTTTGGTCTTGCAGTGTCAGGATTGCAAGGTAAGAGATGGAGTAGTTGTTTTAGGAATATAATGTTCCAGCTGGTAACTGGGTGTCACTTTTTTTTCCTAATTAGGTATCCTGTGGTGAATGTTTGGTTTTACCCACAGAGCTCCCTAAGAGCAGTGAATGCATTTCGTGCTGCCTGTGGGGTTCAGAATGCCCATGTGTAAGGTCTGTATATTTTGGTGGTTCTGCTGGAACAGGTGTTAATCATGAGGCCTATGGCAATACTTGGGTATGATTTTCCTGAGCTATCTGGCTCTAGCCGGCATATACTGGTCTGCCGAAATCTGCTTTCAGTGATGGAGCTAATGATAATGAGTGTGGTTTGAAGGGAAGGATGGGTGTTTCTAGGAAAAATAATTTTAAGGTATGATTTTCTTCCAATATAAGCTACAACTTGTTAACATTTTCCAGTATACATTTCTTGCATATTGTGGTATATGATACCCAGTAGGGGATTTCCTCTCTGTATTATAGTAAGTTTGGAAAAGGTTTAGGTGGCTTCTTCAAATATGTGATTCTAGTGTAGTGTCAGTGTTGGATGAGCATCATCTGTAGCTTTGTGAGGGCGTGTCATGAGTGCTTTCCTCAGAGCAAATGAGGTGATGTCTGTGGGCTATATCAGTTTTTCTAGTGTGTTTTGGATAGCTGATGGTTTGTGGAAGGAGGTGTGTTGGTCTGTGGATTTTCTGCATATGGTATTTTGACGGTTGCTATTTTTTATGTTGACCTTGGTGTCTAGAAAGTTGATGCTGATGTAAGTTTTCCAAAGAGTTTGATGGGCAATTCTGGTTGCTGAATTTGTGGTAGAAATCAATGAGGGAATCTAACTTTTCACTACAGATGTCATTTACATAGCCCTAGCATACCCTAGGAACCCATGTTGGTTTGCTGGGAAGGTTCGTGTTTTACGCGGGGTGACTCCTGACGAGCCTGATGTCCTGGCACTTGGATACAAGTACCTGGGTGCTTGTAGCTGCATCTGAGATTTTATGAGGGTGAAATGGTTGTGGATGGCCTTGGTTATTCAGTGTCAAGAGACTGGCACATATAAGACACTTAGGCATAGGTCAGAGGTAGTGGTTCCCTGGTATAGCATACGATGGCAATACTAAAGACAATGCCAGTAGAGAAGATAGTTAATGAAGCAGCGATGCTGGAAGAAGCTTGTTTGTCTGGGGAAAGTTGTTTTTATTTGTGATGAAGTATTTAAAGATGCAGATCCCCATAGCCCTTTGCTGAAAGTCTCCTTTCATTTCCTTCTGCAAGAATCTAGAAGAGCACCTTAACATAAAGTTGACATAAATATTTTCCATCTTCATTAGGAAGACATTTGAACTCTAGGGTGAAAAAAAGCAGAGGTCTTTCTTGTGTTCCTTCTCACAGGAAAGCATAAAAAATTATGTGTTACCATCATGTGCTAGCATCACTGCTAACTGCATATCCTAACTTCTCCTTTATCAATTGTTTAATGACTAATTGTTGACTGGATTTTGAAAACTATGTAGAACCTTAAAAAAAAATCATACCTTTAAAAAATTCTTTCTGAAAGAATTGTTTTTGTAGACCAGTGTAAAATGGATTTAGGAGGGTGCAACTCACTCTGATGTGAGATTATTTTCATGGTTATTTTACAGGTGATAGTGGCTATTTTGTCCTCTTTTTTTTTTTTCCAGAAAAGTTGAGACACAGTTACGGGAACACTTCCTCCAATTGGACTACAGACCACAATGCTCCCAATGCTTCCGAGAATAAAAGTAAGCATTTAAAAAGAAGAAAGAGTGGTAGATATTCAAGGTTGGAGTATTCCTCCCAATGACTTTGTGGTGGGTGATGTTGAGATGCAGGTCCTCTCATCATCATTTCTCAGGTGTTGTCTTGTTGGTGAAGGAAATGCCATTTGCACTATTTCAGTGCTAAACATCAGTTTCTTTTGATAGTGATTTGTTGCATGGTGGTTTGGTGAGTTCCAGTTTTCTTCTTTACTATGTTAGAGCTCATAATTATGTCTGGCTCCGTCAACCTTTCTGGAAGGTAAAGTTTTTTCAGTTTCTTAGATTAGAGAGACCTAAGCAGGATACTGTGTCATGTATTTGAGTTGCAATACAGATATTTTTTCTACAGACAAGATGACCTGCAAGATGGATCTGTGTCATTCTCCCATGTTCCTCAAAGCCTGAGCTGAACTTCAACTCAATTTTATGTCTGGCCTAAACAGGACCGTGAGAGGACCATGAGAAAGAAAACGCCTACAAACTGTAGCATGGCTTTATGAAGAAGAGGTTTTGGTATTGATAAGCTGAGACATGAAGAACACCAGAAGATGTTCCTAACCAAAGGTTCAGAAATGTTTCTGTAGCAGGCTGGCAGCATATGGGAGATGAGGAGGCTCTGAGCTGGCTTCACGGGCAGCCAGGTGCCAGCACACCTCTGCCAAGTGTTTAACCCATTCCTTTAGCAAGACTGTGACCTGCCTTTCTTCTTTGGACAATGCAAATGAGCACTTGAGCTCGTTTTAGCCAGGGGATGTGCACCCGAGGTACACGCTGATTTCAGATACTGGGAATTTAGGGGAAAGGGACCCTCCGGATGCTCAGGGAAGCCTCGGTTGACGGTGGAGCTCAGACCTGAGAGGGGTAATGGGGAGGAGGGGGCAGGAGGCGGCGGAGGCAGGGCTGCCGGCGCGGTGCTCACCCCCGGAGGAGCAGCGCTCCGCTGCGCAGGGCGGAGCAGCACCGACCGCCATCCCCGGGCGACCTGCCCGGCGGCGGAGACCGGGGCACCGGGGGCAGGGGCGGGCCCGACCCGACCCGACCCGGGCCGGCGGGGGCCGGTCTGTGCTCGGGGAGGCGAGGCGAGGAGGGGGCGGCGGTGATGTGTGAGGCGGCGGGAGGGAGGGAGGGAGGAGGAGGAGGGCGGCAGGGGCGCGCCGCCCGGGGCTGATTGGCCGCCCAGTTTATAAGAGGTGCCCGGCCGGGGCGGCGAGGTTGTTTGCTGGCTCTGGGGAGCTCTGCGGAGCCGAGTGTGGAGCCGTCGGAGCGGAGCGGAGCTGCGATGCGTCGCGCCAGCCGAGACTACACCAAGTACTTGCGCGGCTCCGAGGAGCTGGGCAGCGGCGCCGCCCACGAGAGCGCCCCGGCACCGCCGCCGCCCCCGCCGCCCGCGCACCCGCCGCCCGCATCCCGCTCCCTCCTGGTCGCCCTCGTCCTCCTGGGGCTGGGGCAGGTGGTCTGCAGCGTCGCCCTCTTCCTCTACTTCCGAGCTCAGGTAAGCGGGGACTGGCGCGGGGGCTTCACACTGTGGCAAGTGCGGCCGCCTCGCACCCTGCAGGAGACGGGAAGGCCCTCGTGTCGGCGCGATCGAGGCGATTAGTTAAAGAAAAAACAAAACAAAAAGTTTTAGAACACACTTATCTGTCTCTGAAGTTGATCCAGTTCTGAAAGGGGTCGGGCCAAAGGGCTCCCAGTGCCCTGCCCAGCTTGTGCTGCTCCCTGATCACGGGAGCTGCTCAGTTCCAGAGGTTCCAGGTAGCGCTCCCAGCATCGGGTGCATTTTGGAGTAGAGGGCTTCGCTGCGAGGTTGCACGGGAAGGGTTCCCTGACTCGTGAAACTGTTAGTTATAATCCTTCACCTGAAGTCTTGCAGGGCTTTGGTTTTTAATGATCAGCTTTCAGTTTTCACTGGAGAGAATTTTGACATTGGGTTTTAGTAAAATGTTCTTCACCCGGAGGGTGATTGGGCACTGGAACAAGTTCCCCAGGGAAGTGGTTACAGCACCAAGCCTGACAGAAGTTCTAGAAGTGTTTGGACAATGCTCTCAGGCACGTGGTGGGATTTTTGGAGATGGTGCTCTGCGGGGTCAGGAGTTGGACTCCGTGATTCTTGAGGGTCCCTTGCAACTCCGCGTTACCTGTGATTCTGTGATATGGCAGAGGTCTTTGGCTACCATGAATGCTTCACCAGCAGGATAAATGGCTTTAAGGACAAAAAAGGTCATCATACAGCATCACTCGTGATGGTTTGTCACTCAGGCTGCGCAGGGACGCTGCAGAGGCGCGGGGTCTGTGTGCTCGTGGACATTGGCCAGAGGTTTCTGCCGCAGCTCAGGAGGTCTTTCTGGGATTTTGGGGATTTCTGGGAGAGAGCCGCCCCTTACCTGGCAGGCCTCAAGTGTGCCGGGATGCGTCAGAAGAGGCAGCGGTGCGTGGCGAGAGGAGCGGGGAGGTGTCGCTGTGGGGGCAGATAAGGTGATGAGCGGTTGGGCTTTCGGAGAGAAGAGGAGCCTGCTTCTTGGAAATGGCTCGGCTGCCTGGATTGCCTCGCTGCTGCATCTCTTACCCTGCAAGGCTGAGCCCCCTCGGAGGAAGTGGGGAGCTGCCAGCTACTTGGTTCTCAGGGCTAGGTGTTAGAATTCTGCTTGGCTTTATTGTCGGATGCGAGTTAATTCTGTTAATGTGGGTCTGACTGCTGTCATGGAAGTGGTGCTTCTGTTGTGTGTACTTTTCATTTGAAGTCGGCAGAGAATGGAAACCTGTTTCTTTCGGTTTACTTTCTAGGTAGAGGCACTTGATCTTGAGGTAGCAGGCTGGATTTCTTAACTGAGTGCACTCTGAAAGCAGGTGTTGCACAAGTGTAGACCCACTTAATCAGATGAGTGACACTCAAATATACACTAGTGCTGCTGATTATTTATTATGCCCACTAATTCGTATTTTCTTACTGACAATGGCTTTGTGTTTTCCATTTTTCCAAAAGTAAAATGTAACGGCAATACAGCAGTTAGTTAATCATAACTTGTATATTTCAGAAGAGTGACATCTAATTTCTGGGACTCAGAAATTGTAAAGTAGCTTAAAGCTACTTGTTTGCTTGACAGTGAAATAAAAGAATGTCTGCTTCAGCTTGTGACAGGGGAATGTTTGTCACTCCAAATGTTCATGAACCTGAAAAGACATTCTTGTCAAAACATGACTCAGAGATGCACGGCTATACATTCATTAGAGGGCTGGAGAGCCATTGCAATCAAAACAGCTAATGAAAGTATATCCCCTTATAAAAGAATCTTTCTGATAGGTACATACCAGGGTTTCACGTGTGCCTAAAAAAGGGTAAAAAGAACCATAATGGCTATTTTTCTTCTGCTTCCTTGATTTAAAAAATGGCATGGTTCAGATGTAACTCTGCATTTGATGTCTTAATTCTCATGCTAATTTCTTGTTCCTGTAGTTGGAGTAGTGTTATTGAATGGAGTCTTTCATAAATTTGGATTTCCAAAACATCTAGAAGAGGTGATATAACTCAACGTAAGCTTGACTGAAGTAATTGGCTAAAAAAAAATTAATGGAGAAAATGTCATCAATGGGAAATAGAATAAGTATACTCTTGAACTAAGTATATAATTCACTATAAGAAGATATGATAATTCATATTTGTTCACCATTTCTAATTGTGAAATAAGATAGATGGAAAAACACAGTAAGTCCTGCAGCAGTTAATTCTTATTTCACACTTAGATATTTATTTTATTTAAATAGGACATGATCAGACCTCTTTCTTTTGAAAATATTTCTGTGAACTTTGATTTTATTAAGCTACTTGGATTTGGCCTTTTCAGTGTAAATTTCAGCTATCTAAGTTTATACTTTAATAACAGAACTTAAGTATCTTTAATTAATTTTGTTAAAATAATGAGGCGCTAACAGTAGAAGCTCTGCATGAAAATATTTGAATTGTTTGCTTGGTAAATTAAGCAAATGTGAATTAGAAAGATTTGACTCTATAGGCTGATATTAAGAAGTTATGTATCTTAGAAGCTCTTTAAAACCTTATCTAAGAGTCTGAGTAAACTCTGACTCAGTTTTACCACTCACATTTTGTCTGTATTCACATAAAATCATTTGGGCTGGATCATGACACAGTATAAGCTGAGACAATAGTTGAGGTTTTGGTTTTTCCTTAATTTTGTTTATTTTGTGGCTTGAGCATTTCGAATTTCACAAGACACATAACTAAGACTGACACTAGGTTTTCACGAGTAAACACATGTTTGTGGCCAAGAAATAATGCAGTGCCATGCAAGTGAGACAATGAGCTGGTATGTTGAAAAAGCAACAAGTTTGAATTTTAACGGTGTTCTCATACCAGTGTACTGAAATGTAAAAATATTAGTATGTTGTATATGTGCTTTTTGGTCCATTCTGTGCAGTGTACTGAATCCAAGAAATTAAGCAATAAAAAAAGTGTTGATCTTAAGCATTTATTTTGCCTATACTTTGAGGAATATTTTCTCATTATCTGTAAAAATGTCATGAAAATTTAGTTAAGATACTCAAAGCAGCTGGAGGTCATCACTCAACAGAGACTCATGCACAGCATCAGGTGAGAAAAGTGTTTAACTTTGACTGATAAATGCTGAGGTATAGGCTCCAAAAGCTTAGCTTTTAAGCTTTTCGTTCTGGGCCATTTCCTTAGTGCACTTATATCTCAAAAGAGTAGGAATCTGGTCTAACGCTGACTGAGCTGGAGGGCAGTGAAGAAAATTGAAAGTGCTCAAATTGAAATGTGGTGGCTGGGTGTCTAATGCCCACAGTTAAAGCTAGACCTCCAAAGGTGTGCACTTCTCCTATTAAAAAAAAAAGTCTGTACAAATTTTAAATATTCTACCATATTGAAGAGTTCACACATGGATAAGTGGTGACCAGGAAGCCCAGTTTTTGTCATTTCATGCTTAAGTGGAATTCTGACTTTCGTTGTGGTATGCTTTCAAACTATTACCTTTCAGATTTCAGATGAAGTTTTGTGAGCATTGTGGCTAATAGAAAAGACAACTTGCTGGAGGTCATTAGCATCTTTCAGAAGCCTGGAAGAACCCCTTCCTGGTGCTAAAGAAAGGTCATGGAGTGTAAAGTGATATTTGATAGTCTGGAAAGTGGTTTAGGTTTGAAAATAAGTACAAGTATGGATGTTAAACATTTATTGTAATGAGTAAGTTTTTAATCCAATATTGTAACAGTGCGCAATTGTTGCAAAATTTAATAGTAAAAGTGGGTGGAATGTATTGTGTCTTTTGGAACCAAACCGAGACTTTTTTACATGAGAAAATTGATTCTACGTTCATTTAGTCTCACTCATGATACTGGAGTTCGTTTTGGCTGCCCTGAAGTGGGTGAATAGAGCTCAGAAATGCAACTAGAATGATGAGAGATGCTGAAAATCAGGGGCACTGAACAGTCTGATCTGATTTCAAGGTCAGGCAAAACAGATACTAAAAAATAAGCTACACTCTCCTCTCTTTAGTTTAAGTCCTCTAGCTTACTTAGGTTTCTTTGCACTTTATAAAGCTTTTCTCTTTAGTTTTGTTTGCATCTTGATATTTCTTCCAGATATTAAATCATTAGGACTTTTTGCTGAAGATGCCCTGCCAGTTAGCAAGCTACTTCTAGTATTGCGTCATAATTTTCTCGTTCTTTAGCAGTTCTTCTCAAAATGTGTCCTTGGGAGTTTTTCTGTGCATCAGTACTTCCCCACAGTTTTGATCTCAGTGCTTGGTAGTACTTGTTTACAGCCATGGCAGTTCAGTGTGTGTTCTTCGTAAAGATGTAGGATGCAGGATTTCTGAGAATGCCTTTTCAGGCAAGTGAGCTCATTTTCATGGGTAAATGTAGTGAAGATTATTCTTGAAGGTATTCTTTGGAAAGGTGAGGGCAACAGGTCGGTTAGCTAGTCCTGAAATCAAAGTTTCCCCTTATCAAACACTAACTCTGGAGACTTGCAGTTTTTGTCAGGGTGGGCTGCACAGCTCCTAGTTGCTGAAACCATCAGCTGCAGTGTTTCCATTAAGCCTTCAGTCTTTTACCTGTAGGTGCAGAGGTGCTGGTTTTCTGTCTTAAGACTTGAGCAGATAAACTGTAATCTGGGCAAATCTGTGCAATCTGCTGTTCCCGTTGTGATACAGCATTGTGTGACACATTTGAATGATTGCTGATAGCAGTGAGTCTATGCTGGCACGATTTGTCATGCTGGACACTCAGGCCTTTACAAATTTAATGATCTTTGTGCAGTTAAAACCTAGTTTTCTTGCCTGTTATTCAGGGAATGTGTTTTAATAAACACAAAACTGGGATAGTAGTCTCTGACTAATAGAATTACTGATAAAAATTAGTATTTATTGGCAGTTATTTGCTGTAGCTTTCTATGTTCTATCCTGCGGTTTGTGTAGAGGGGAGAAGACTCATCCTGTTATAGACATCAGTTCTGTGAGATCTCTAACGATCCCAGCATGCGAGGTTACATTTGAAATAATGGGTCCTGTTTTGGGTCCCTTGGTACCAGAAGTGTATCAACAAACTGGAAGGTGTCCAGCAGAAAACCACTGTGACAGGTAGGAGCCGTAAAAGAATGGAGAGCTGGATTCTCTGACAAAGAACAGACTAAGATGAGGGAAGATAATCACTGTTTTTAGCTACCTTAAGACAGTCTCTTCAGAAGTGCATAGCAAAAAAAAAAAAAAAAAAAGGCACAGTCATAAATTGCAGCAAGGGGAGCTGTAGCTGGATATAAAAACCAAGGGGTTTTTTACACTCTAAAAGTAGTGAAGTTTTAGGACAGTTTGTTTAGAGAAGCTGAAAGTCTTCATTGATGGACATTCCCCAAAGCTTGTCTAGAAAAAGCCTTAACCTACCTGACTTAAGTTACAAGTTGGCCCTGCTTCAAGCAGGGAGCTGGACTAGAGATGTCCAAAAGTATCTTCCAACCCAAGTCATTCTGCACTAACTGCCTTTTAGCACCTGTTGGTGAGCATTTTGTGCTGCTTTTAAAAAAAATTATTTTCGTTTACATTGATTTTCTGTGTTCTGAATACAAGTGGAATATGTTGTGAGAGATGCTTTAAGAGTGCAGTTTTACAGACAGGTAAAACTAGAGCTGCCTTCCTGATATTTCGTTCTTATGCCTGTCCCTGTACTGACTCCTATGCTTGCCTGATATCTGGAGTCACTTGATTTTGGGGAACTAATCTTAAAGAGAATTAGGCCAGCAAGAATTCCTCCCTTGTTGCTGATTTAGAAGAGGAGACTAAAATCCAGGAATAAAATTCCGTGGTGAAAGGGGTGAAAGCAGAGAGGTGCTGCTTTAGATCTCCTTATGCAGTTAATAAGCTGTACTGCACTGGCTGACTTCAGAAGGCATTAATGTAGGTTTTTAACACTTAATTCATAGTGCTGCAATGGCTGTACACAGAGTTTCTTTGGGATTCAGCTGTGTCAGAGCATCACAGGAAGATGTTACTGCCTGCAAGCCATTCTGTAACTCATCACTACTCCTCTGCTCAAAGCTGTGACATCTTATGATCTTTGGGTGAACCTTCTATGACCTGTTTTATTCCAAATCTGCAGGGATGACTGAGACAGCTAAACCAGGCTACAGGATCTGACACTGGTCTGAATCAATTGGGCAAAGAGCTTTCCATCTGGAGGCTTGAGCAGAAGGATGGTGATGGAGGAGGCAGCATTTGCTACTGCTGTCTGTGCAATAAATGTCTCTCTGCTGTGTGTTACTATTGGGTGGCTGCCTGGGTGGTAGAGACTTTAATTCAGCTCTGTAATCCTAACCTTAGACTTTTATGTTAACTAATTTCTTTTTAGGGGGTTAGGGAATTGAATTCCTGGGAACAAATTATATGTTTGATTCACTTGGCTGTTTTGTATTGTGAAAAACTTCCTTTTGATGTGCTGTTTTGTTTAGCTTTATGTTAAAGGAAATTGAACACTAGGCACTGTCCATAATGTCTTGGTATTCCTGCACTGCAATTACAAATAACCTTTTGCAATTCTCAGGTAGAAGTGTTTCTTCCAACTAAAGAAAGATAACAGTAAATGCTCTCTAATAGGCCAGCTGATACAGATAGAGAACCTAGACAAGAGTCTGGGTGCATAAACCCTTCTTTAATCCTGAAGTAAAAGCGGAATAAATGCGAGTTGAGAACAATTTCTGAGAGTCCTAGGCCGTCTCTGAAAGATAGTTGTTAATCTCTTTAGTGTAAAGGATTTGGAGTATGTGGGGAAAAAAAGGGTGAAATGGTTTAAATAGTTTTTATGCAATAAAATTCTGTCAAGGTACAATCCTAATCCTTGGATTATTTTCCAGTTTATCTAAGTGATAGAATGTAGGTTTTAAAAATATATTTGATTCAGTCACAAAGACTGATTACTAAAAATGTCTTGCAAATACACTAAACTTACTATTCCTTGTCCAATGATGCAGAGGTGTCTTGTCGTGCAGTTTAATCATTTTTTGGTCTTTGACTTTTTGCTGTCTTGGTGACTATTTCACACAGCAATATCTCTTGCCACTGCCATGGCTTGATCCCAGCTGGCAGCTAAGTCTCAGACAGCTTCTCACTCCCTGATGGGATTATGGAGAGAATTGGAAGAGTAAAAGTGAAAACTCGTAGGCTGAGGTAAAGAAATTTTAAAAGAAAAAGCTGCACACACAAGTGAAGCAGAATATGAAGGCAGGTGTTCAACCATCCCAAGGACAGCAGGGCTCCACCACACATGAAATGACTTGGGAAGACAAATGCCCTCATTCCAAATGTCTCCCCTTTCCTCCTTCTTCCCACACCTTTATATACTGAGCATGGTGTCATATGGTCTGGGGTATCCCTTTAGCCAGTTGTGCTCAGCTCTCCAGGCTGTGTCCCTTCCCAGCTCCTTGTGCACCCCAGGTCCTCTCTGGTGTGATGGGGTGAGAGGCAGAAAGGGCCCTGACTCAGTGTCAGCCCTGCTCAGCTGTGAAGAACACATCCCTGTGTTACCAACACTGTTTTGGTCACAAATCCAAAACACAGCCCCATACCAGCCACTGTAAAGAAAATAAACTCTATCCACAGTGAGCACATCCATAAACAGTTTCAGTGATAGCTGACTGACAGCTTCAGTGATATAATTTCAGTGACAAAACAGTTTCAGAGATAACTTCTGTTTCTCCTCTCCCCAGGTTTCTCTATTTGACATTCATGTGTCATCTTACAAACAATAATTTTTGAGGTAGGATAACTGTGTATGTTTCCTGCTAAAATAACTGTGATATTGCCCTGAGTGGCTGAAATATGGAATTCAATATTATTGGCCTTACCATAAGAATCGGATTTATCTTTAACTTTTGAAAGTCACATATCTACTCTAAGCTAATGAAATAGGCAGCACCAGAAGATAATTCATTCTCCTATCTCACATGTTTGTTGGCTGAAATAAACCCTGATGCTGGGAAATTTTCCTCTTTACACTGTTTATGATAAGAATTTAGATAATAAACTTAGCCAGGGACCAAACTTTTAAATGGTTGAAAAGTGTCTCTAACACTTAGAACTGTATTTGTGCTTATGTTTTTGTTACAGATGGACCCTACACGAATTTCAAAAGAACATGCACACTGTGTCAGAACACTTTTTGGACACCAAGAAAATAGAGATTTGCATGATGCCTCCTTTGAAAGTCAAGAAGCGAACTTAATGCCAGAATCCTGTAGAAGTGTGAAACAGGCTCTCCAAAGGGCTGTGCAGAGGGTAAGTGACATGGACAATGTGTTTCTTTATTTCATGGTCCTGTTGAAATTAAAACATTTTTTCCCAAATCTATATTCAGAGGCAAGTTCTATAAATCATTTCCTGGTGTTTGAATAACACTTGAAGTTTTATCCAGGATTGTATTGTATTTGCTGATGGATCTGGTAGTGGCTAACTAACTCTGTATTCAAGCACATTACTTTTTTTTTTTTTTTTAATTCAAGAAAGGAAGACTTGAAGATGTACTAAGAAAACTGATTGAAGTTAGGTGATTAGCCATTCTGACATTTGGAGAGGCCTGAATGGTAGTCATTTATGCTAATATTTGTATAGCTTTTCCAACACTTTGGATACTCCTAACAAGTGTCAGTTTCACATTCTTTTCAAAGGAATCTTCCAGACAAGATTCTCTTAAGTCAAGATCATCAGCAAGAAAAATATTGCCTGAAGGAAAAGGACTTAGCATTTGCTCCCATTTGCTCTTGTTTCTCACTCTTTCTGAAGTCCAAAATCAGGGTCAGTTCCTGCTTTGGTTTTGCTCACTTTGCCAGTTCTGAGTAAACCATTCTCACAATGGCAGATCTGCTTTGCCATAGCATGATAACTGGGTGGTCTTTGGCCAGGAATTGAGAATGACAGCTTGTTCCCAAACACAAATGACAAAAGAAGGCAACCCTAATGGAGAAGCCTAAGCAAGCTGGAAATATGCCACAATCCCCTTTTATTGCAGATACTGCCTTTAATCTCTTTTTGTGTTCATGGTAGTATTTAGTGCTAATTATGGGCTGTGTAATAGATGGATGTCTGCTATGGTATTTGGTTTTCCTGGCTTATCAGGCCCATTACAACTTTACTGCCTCACATCTGCATAGGACTGGCAGTTTTTCATTAAAGGTCCTACATTAGATTTGAGCTGAACTCACATATGCTTTAGCATGAGCTGTAGTCGAGTTAAATTTACAGCATTTGAATTGTGCTAACGTGATATTTGCTTTTAACTGAGAACTGAGTGACAGATCTTTTTGTCAACAAAACAGAGAGAGACAGGAGTCCATGTGTTGTCCCTTTTGCTATCCACCTCCTTCGAGAGCTTAATGGGGAAACAAAGGTTTATGTCTGTAGGATTAGTTCTTTCCTCCTGCATTTTATAGAGCCTCTCAGCTGGATGTGCTGTGTGCTGGGCTGCTCATTCACTCATGACAGAGCAAGGAGCTTGTTACAGTAAGTCAATGGGGAGCCCTGTGTTCTGGTCATTTGCTGCTGGTTACTCAACAAAGGCACTGGCTTTAGCTGAGGCTTTGAATCCTGCCAGTCTGGATGGAGGTTAAATGCTGCAATATCCGTGGCCAGGATAAGTAGTGAGTAGGGATAACTTTTTTGGCTGATGACCATTAGTTTGAGAACAATAAAATTTCCCTTGCCAAAGTAATTAGACTCTGAATTTCCTTTGAATGCAATGGAGTTTATTAAGCAGCTGCACCAGTGGTCTGGATGCTTTGTCATCTTGCATCAATGACAGAAAAAAGTAGATAGGAAGGTGGTGACCTGAGGCTTTTTGCATCTTTTTGGTACATCAGAGAAGTGAAAGTAACAGTGTCAAGGCAGAATTATACTTTATCATCAACTGTAAATTCTGCCTTTCAGTCACCCTGCAACAAGGAAGAGTGGAGATGCAGCTGTAACTTAGTTGCAGTTGTGCTACTCCTTTGTGTGTGGATCCAGCTAATGTGACTTAAAGGAGGTTTCCTGTTGTCTGTGCTTTCTTCACTTTCCTTAAGGAGAATCTAAAGAATCTAACTTTTGTGTTTTAAAAAACAATATCTTGATTTGAACTGGCAGCATGCTAAGTGGCTAAAATGGAACACTTCAAAATATCTTTTGTTTTTTGATTTTTTCAATATATTGTCTTTTGCAATTTTAACTGTTCAGGAAATGAAAATAGGCAAATTTCTTTTGCTCAGGTTTATGGTCTGGTTACAGCTTCAGGCTTCCTGCACCAGTTTTCATCGGTTTTCTTTGCACATCTGTAGACAGAGTGCTTAAATGTAAAGCAGGGATTGATGTTGAAAATGAAAGTGCTCTTATGAAAACCAGTGTAGTAGGGCTGCAAGGTCCAGTCTAGAAGTACATGTCTCCTCAAAAAATCATGAAGTTTTTTTTTCTTTTAATCAGAATCTAATAATTGATTCCTTAACATATTCCGTGATAAAAATTCTGCTAAAGGAGCAACTTACTAAGTAGAGAGCATATTTTCAATATTGCATATAAACTTTCAAGCAGACAAATAATATACTTTCCTAGCCAGTCTGTTTGCTTAATTTTTTTCCATGCAACCCTAAAAAGCTTTTGGCAGTCCAGATGCTCTAACCACAGTCCTTATGAAGTCTGTTATGAGCCTGAAGTAGAAAGGACTACAAACATATCTTGGGTCAATCCATAAGTAAATTTGCTTGGCAATGCTCCCAGCTTCTAGCTGCTTGTGGAGTTCAGGCGTAAGCTATTCTCCCACATGGCAACAGTGCTTTGCTAGACCTCCAGGGCAGCATTTATAAAGAAATCTATATACTTAGCAGACATTTAAAGAGCACATAGTTATGAACCAAGTAAAGATTTCACAAGTGATTGTTGTAAGTTGTTAAAATTTCAACTACAATTTTGTAGGTTTCCATCCTACAATATTACATACTTTTTTTCCTTTTTTTTTTTTCCCCTGCAAGCAGTAGACTACTTATTTGGAGAGAGGTTTTATTGCTGGTCTCCAAACTACAGTTTGATGAATATAGGTTCATGTACTTTCTATTTCACTTCCGTCCTGATCAGCATTCTTCAAATTGCTGAATTTCCGGCAAGAGAATCAGATACTTCTTGCTGGTATCAGCTGCACTTAAAGCACTTGGTGATAAAAGAATCAAGTGCATAAAGAAGCTTTAAGACCCCATCTGAAGCAATAAGTGACTGTCCAGGAGTTCTCTTCTTGTTGGTCTCAAAAGGCTACTTGGAGCTGCTCAAAGTAGATGTTGAGATATTTTGATAAAAGCTGAAGGAGACTTAAAACCTTTCACAAATGTCATGTCTTCTAGTTTAGCCTTGTCTCTGCATCCTCAGCGTTGGACATAACTTCAAGAGCTGCAGTTATTTTTGCAACCTGCTGTGGATGAGGTAGAGAGCAGTTCCCAACTTTTCAGATACTTAAAACATGATTTTTAGCTTTAAAATGTGAAAGTTTTGGAGCTTCTTAGTGACCTTTTAATTTTTTTTTTTATTAAGGGAAGACATGTTTTTCATTTTTGTGACTAACTCCTTGTCTGTTGTTTAAACAGTGTGTGTATGGAGGAGGTTGGAATGTGGGAAGCAGGCCAGGAGAATTGACTTGGTGGGCAGTGAGCAAATGACAAAGGTGTACAAGTGCATAAGTGTCATAAGATTAAGAGTGGGGTGATTTTTGTGTACAGTTCTGCTAAAAATAACTGAACAGCTTGGTATCACACACAGTTCTGTGGACGGCAGTCTTAAGAGAAGTTGCTGGTAATGTTTTGTCAGCAGTTTTCATGCCATTAGAGCAGTGTCTTGTTTCTGCCTCCTTAATGAGCCTCTACATTGTGAGTAAGTATGAGATACCCAAGAACATTCAGGAGCTAAAAAAAGCAGTTGATACTTTGGTGATTTGAGAAATCACAGCTCTTAATTCCTTGCATTAAGAATACCAGGAGATTTTATAATCTCATTAAGAGGCTGCCTTCAAACATCCACTGAAAAATGTCCTTCAGGGTCAGAAGCAAAGGCACAGTTAAATGTTTTTCTAAGGTAGGTTGTGTATAAGCACCTTGGAACTGTATGAACATGAAGTAAAAAAAGAAAAATTAAGAAGCGTTTAACTAGTTATTCTTTAGGAGGAAACCTACAACTCCATACCTATTTTCTAGAGACTAGTTAATATGTTCTGTCTTCATTTTGGAAGCTGAGGCAACATAACAAAGAATATGAAACTTTCATGAGGCTTGTCAGAGTCAAGTAAAGAACTTGACAGTAGTTCAGAGCTTAGAGAACTGCTGGAAGATTTTGTTTTCTGGACGCAGATTTTGTTCACTTCTGATCCAGTGATAAGCTCACGGAAGAGACAATGAACAATTGGCTCAACCCCCCCAGCCTTGGTGTTATAAGTGCCATGATCTATCCAGTTGGGCTAATCATGAACTCCAGACAAGGGGAGTTGTGGACCCAAGCCTTCCAGGGTAGCTGTCCTGCTTACTGCATGGTCAAGCTGCAGATGAACAGCACCACCACCAGTTAGAAGGAGAGCAGCTCAGACCGATTTCATGAGGACTAGAGCCATTCTGTGTGGAAGATGAGCTGAGTCAGACTGCTGGGGCTCAGAAGGTGAGGTATTCAGCTGCTTAAGCTAGAGCATCTTTGGAAATGTGCAGAAGCAGAACTGAATGCTCCTAAGAAAAATGTAAGTTAAAAGTAGAATAGCAGTCGACCACTTCAGGGCTTTCAAGGGCTGAGCAATTATCAACCATGGGACTTTTTTTTTTTTTTAAATACCAAATCTAGATGCTAGGAGATAAAAACGTACATGGTTCTTTTTGGATCTGCTCAGTAGGCTTTCCAGGCAATGACATTATCACATCCTCCCAAAGGAAAGGATATTAAAACAAACTCCACATCTGAGAAGTTTCCACTAAGGAAGCAAGAAAACAAGCATGTCCCTTCTTCAAGGGAGAAAGGGTTGGGATGGGCATGCTGCTGTGTGGTCCATCTCCCAGGCTCTTCTTGTTTTACATCCTGTTCTCTTCAGAGACTTTTGCCATTTTTCACAGTACCTAGTACTTGCGTTCTTTTGCCATCTTCCTGTTTCCTACTTAAGTGTAGCTAGTGGCTGATGCTGACATGCAGCTCCTAGAACTGAACTTCATGCTCCTAGAACTGACAGTGAAGTAGGAAGATCAGAGAAGTAAAGTGAATGTAAATGCGGGAAGTGGATGCGAGTTTTGCTGCTTTTGAAGTTGTGATTCTTCTGCTTTTCTTCTCATCTCTACAGCAAAAAGCATCTTCATGATTCTTATCTATGAAATCAGCATATCTCAGCTGAAGTATTATGCTTTGATAGTCATACTACAACTTCCATACTGTTGTGGCTTTTCATTTTGGTTTAACATTTAAACACCTACTGAAAGGGGAAAGTGAGAGTAATAAATGCACCAGCCAAGGCACTACATATCTCACTGCGGTTGCAAAACTACATAAAAGGACGACTTCAGGTGTTTTCAGAGCAGGATTTCAAATTCTGAAACACCCCAGTGATTGAGAGCACAGTGAGACTTTGCTGATCTGGCCAAATCTGAGACATATTTCATATACATGTATTGAGTTAGGCAAACAGCAGTGTGCATGGCATAAAGATGAAACAAAGGACCACTCTTAGGTTTCATAGGACATGACTTACTATCTTCAGCAAGATGTTTCCTTTTACTAAATATCTTCTTGACAGCTCCATGGTATGAGGTATTCAGAATAACAAACATCACCCCTGTTTTTTCAGAAAACAGTTGGAGAGTCATGGGGAAAAGTGAGACAGAACTGAGGTTTGAGCTTAATACTGAGACACAGTCTAGGCTCGTAACAACAACAGGCTGCTTAGATTTTTGAAATCTGCTGTTTGTATCTTTTTCTCAAGGGGAGTACAGGTATGAATGATTAAAAGCAAAGCTTTTTGTGGTGCCTGATGCCTGCGTTTGTGTTGTTCTTGGGTTTGGGTAGCATAGTTCTCATTCGTGTTAAAATTTATCTGCAGTTTTGAAGAATTAGATACTTTCCAAGTCTGGCACCCAGTCTCTTTGGATCCAGTATGGATGATACTTAATCCTTCAGTTCCTGCATACCTTGTTAGAAGTGAGCCTTGATTGTAAAGCCTTGTAGCCTTCTCTGTTGATGGCCAAGTGTGAGACGGAGGTTTTCATTCACCTCATCACAAATGAAATTCAGAGTTTAGCTATCCTTAGTTGTTAATGATTACACTGTAGTTACTGTATAGAAATGTCTCTTTCTTTTCCTTTAGACTCCAAGTAATTAAATCAGTTCATAAATTCCGTTGTTTGATGTGATGCCTTCTTATCAATCATTGTTCCATTATACTTAGGGAAATATTCCAGGTACAGTGATTAGAAAAGGTTTTGAATGTGCCGTCACCACTGCTTCAGTGAATAATGCAGTGATCATACACACTATCATATCTATCCCTCTTTATTAGAATTACCAAATTACTAGAAGTAATTTGATTGAATATATTGTTACGTATCTTATTTACATGATTCATATCCCAGACATCTGAATGTGCTGCAGGTGGAAGAGTGTCTTCAGATACATGCACAGATTATTGTAAGTGTGCAAACTAAACATTGCTACAAAACCAAGAAAACATCACAGCAATGTCTCCTTCTCATTTTAGGAAGTCCAGCGTGCTATGGGAAGAACGCCACCAAGACCAGAAAAAGGTAGGTATTGGTTTATGAATAAGAAATATTTTAATTCTGCTAAACTTGTGTTTTTGGAATAATGCAATTCTTTTATCTCTAGCTGCAATGGAGGCATTAGGACTTGAACTGTACAAGAGGAACAAACCTGAGAAGCAGCCATTTGCCCATCTCATTATTGATGATAAGAATATTCCGTCGGGTAAGTTCAATTTTTAAGTGAATACTTCCAATACTAATATAAATGTGTTGAAAGTGAGGTATATAAAGTATATAAAGTCCAGCAAAACAGCAACAGACTGGGACTTCAGAAATAGCTTTTGATAATGAGAATAAATTGGGTGCATTAAAGGATTTCAGAGGCAGCAGGGGTAGTGCTAAAAGGAGGATATTGGTGCTTGCCTTTGTATCAGTCTCGTGCTGAATGGCCTCCATTTCAGATTTCCACTTCTCATGATCAACCTCTTGAGGGGCATGGCCTCTCCCTGTGTGCTGTCTTCAGGTGAGGCAGGAAGATCTACATTGAATGCTCTCCTCTGAAGTTTCCCATTTTCCTTTGGCCTGTAGGGCCCATCAGGAGTTTTTTACTCCAACTGGACACCAGCCTGGAGGATGCATGCACACACACAAGCATGTACCAGCACAAACATTGCCTGAGCTACTGAGCAGGGGGGGAAAAGTTGTTCTTGTAGTTTTTATCTGCCCCTGTGGTAAGAGGATGGCATTCTTTTATCTCGCCAGAGCTCTTATTTTCTACTCACAAACATTCAGATGGCTTTGGGAATATCCTTGCTAGTACAATTTCAGGGAACAAGACATGAGTCTGCCTTGGAACACTCTCCAGAGGAAAAGATTCATTCCTTAAATTTTAAGATAATGCTAGAACAGTTTTAGGTTTTGCCCTGGGGCACTGTCAGTTGAGATTTTTTTGCTGTATACTCAATGCTGTATTCTCAGTTGGTGTGGTAGAAGTAAACCAGTTTTTTTCTGAAGCTGTTAGGTGGAGGATCTTAAGGGATGTATTGATCACCACTGTCTTCTTTCTCTGAAGATTTATGCATTCTGCAGGGGTGAACTCATTGTTAATTGAGCTATGCACATTGCTTTTCTGTTTTATATAACCAAACCAAAGGGGAATGGTGTGTTGAGACTTGAAATCTGAGATTTTAGCAGCCTGCATAGTAATACCTTGCTCTTGCTCTATTTAAAGACAAAGCGCTTCTGTACAGCTTCTTGCCTGGAGGGATAGGATTCTTTCAAGTGCATTGGCATTGCAACAATCCAGAGCTTTATAGCAGAGAGCTTAAACAGCTTGTCAGATGGCAGTCAGAACTTCCACAAGCTTTCTTGTTAGCTCAAATGCCTCCTGACAAGCTTTTATTTTAGTCAGATTTTGGCTTTGACTTACTTTTACAACAGGTCAATAATAGAAGATTTGCTATCAGTAAACCTGCCTCAGCATTTTATCTTTGGAAGGTTTCTATCAATTTGCTAGTCATCGAAACAGATCACTTACCTGTAGAACTGTAGTGTATGTTGGTGTCACAGTCTGTGAAATCCACCTTTTTCTGTGTGGAATTTATTTGCTGCTTACCTGGATGTTGCTGCAAACTGTAATTTTACAACTGTAATTTTTCAGCAGCTGATAATTTTTATAGCTGTGCATTGCTGCATTTACCTTCAAGGGGGTGGCACAGCACATCTATGGGCGATGGCCAGGGAGACATTGTTCTTTTTTGCTGCAGATCAACTCCTTACCAATGTGATGAGCTGCTCCCTTCTGATCTGGCTTTTGCCTCTTTTGGAAGAGCATTGCCAGGAGTTAATCCATGAGCACAGCTTCTGCAGCCCTTGTGGGCATTGCAGCAGTGAGAGGCTGCATCCTTAGGGACAGCAGGAACCCTGAACCTGCTGGTTGTGAGGCCCTTTATAAGCTCACTGGCATGAGGCAGTACCCACTTGGCTGGGTAGCACAGACATTAGTGATAGGCATAAAGAAAGAAAAATATGCCTGAGGGGTCACCAGGAGGTTTTCCTCTCCCGTCTCATTTTCTCTGACTGCAAATGGCAATTTCTGTTTTCTTCCCCCGATTCTTTACCCTGCATGTCTGAAATCCATCTAAATTGTTTTCTGCCATCCCTGAATGGACAGATCTGTTCTTAGCATTTTAAGGTTCTCTACTGTCATCACACTCATCCAGAATAAACAGTGCCAGAAAAAAAAAATCTTCATTGCTGTCAAATAGGATTTTAAGCAGTTTTCTACTCTACACCCTTCATGAAGGGGCACTGAGCAGTGTCAGTGAGAGAACATTGTGCTTTGACCTGATTCACAATAATGTCAGGCCTCAAGTGGACTTTTGCAGCTGGGGGGATAGTACAAGGGAGGGGGGAAAATAACCCTTCCCAGATCTTGGTGTCTCCACCCACCATCTGGCACAGAAGCTGTAGTGGTTTGGCTTGCTGTGTGTATTTTTTAAGTTTGCTGCCTTAGGTTAGAGCTGGATGCTTGCTGGTTGGTTTTTACCAGAGCTCACTATAAATGCTACCTAGGTTTTAAATGAAAACAGTGAATTTTGGTTTATAAATTGATTACAGAAATTAGTCACAGTTTAAAGGGGATAATTGCAAACAGAAATAAATATAAATGTTAAATATATCATTTGGGGTGTGAATTGATACCTTTAGCTGTCTAAGGAAATGCTGTAGTATTCTGAGCTATTTACAGCTGCAGGTTCGACTTAGCTGCCCTTTGCCTCCAAAAGACTTTTCAGAGCAAACAGTACTTTGGTCCTTTTTTCAGGCTTTATTTATACCTGAGAGCTACTAGGATGCAAACAAATTATCAAAACAGGGCTCCCTTCTCCTCTGTTCCCGTCACATCATCTTCCTTCTTGCTATTTAATTTTATTTAGATCATTTGTATTAGTCTTAATTCAAGCTCACAAAAAAACCCAAGATATTGGGGTTTTTTTATCTTCAGTTTTGAGAAAGAGCATGTGCTATCTTGAATTCTTAAATAATGCTTTTTGCCCTGTCTGGAAGGCTATTTTGCTCATTTTCCCCCAGACACTTCCTTCTCTGTCAACAGGACTTACCTTGTGCTAGTTTTTTCATGGTTCCAAAGTAAATTATTTCACAGAAGATACTGTATTGCAGCACTTTTGACTGTCCCATGCCTTGGGTTATGTGCCAGACTTTCTGATACGTAACATTCATGGACAGCAGATCTGGCACTTACATGCTCCAGTTTCCTGCACTTCCTGTGTTTCAGGGCATTGATTGTTTTGATGTCTCCAAATCTGGGTGTGCTGCCACCAGAAGTGCTGAGAGCCAGCTCGCTCCTTCCATTAGAGGTTGCCTGGCATAACTCCTACCAGAGCATCTTTGAGCTGTGCTGCTGGCTGTAGCATGCCTCTTCTGGAGCTCTGAATTGTGGCAAAAAGCCTGCCTGCCTCTGCACACACAATAATAGCATTATAATCTAGCTTGGAAGGGGTTTCCAGAAGTTATCTGTACTAATCCTTTGCTCAAAACAGAGGGGGTCATCTCTCATCATCTCTTGGCCTGTTTCCCTGAACATCTAGATAGTGTAAACGAAATTCACCCAGAGCCCCTCACTCAACTACAAGTGACTATGGCACCTATTTGCTCTCTTTTCCCTTCTTTAGCAAAAATCTTCCCACTGAGGATTTCCTCAAAATTGCAGCTTGACTGGCAACTAAAATGTTGACTTGTCTGGTAAATAAAATTTGCCTAGCAACTACCCAGTGTGCCACTGGTCAATTGCTGCTTGCAATTCTGTTCCATCATAGGTGTGCATCCTGTCCTGTATCTAATGTGCCTCTCCTCTGATCCAGGCAGTGATTTCTTGACTGTCCTCCTCATCTTGAAGGTGGCCCACCCTCCATGGGGCAATATTTCTCTGAGACTTAATGCTGTGCAAGTGAAGTTCTGTAATTTCCTCAGCTGTTCCCGATGCTTCAGTGGTGCACCCTGGTGCCCCTAACTCAGCAAATCTTGCAGGTGAATAATTGCAGGCTGGGACTTAACATCTTGGTTTCTCTTCCAGTTAATCAGTGGGTTTCAGATGAGGTTTTTTTTGAGGCACTGCAGAGAAGTTGGCTTCTCTGTCTGGTTTTGCTTTCATAATTTCTGCCTGGCTGCACTAGACCCATAGGAGAGCATCTACTTGTGATCTGCCTTTGACAGTGCTTTTGATTAAGTCTTTGTGGAAGAATGCCAGAAGGTTTTTGTTCTAGGCTGCTGTTAAATTATTCCTCTCACATGGAAAAGTTGCTTGCCCTTGGCACTTAGGGAAGACTCCTCTCTCTTGAATTCCCCTGTTCCTACTTCCCCTCCCTTTCTGCACAGCCCTGGGGGGGTCCTGAGGCATGCCTTTGTACATGCTTGGAGGAGAGGGCACTGAGCCCTGCTGTGTGCCATGGAAAGTTTGCCAAGGATGGACTGCTCTGGTTTGATGTTGGGAGAATAAGGTGCTGAATATTTCAAGCGTGTGTTTAGATGCACTAGGAGGGTGAGGTGTGAAGTCCTCTGGTACCTATGTGAACCCACTGCTGTGGGAGGGAGCAAGTGGAGTCAGTCTCGAGTGTTGAAAATTACTAATGGTTAGAAGGACAAGTTGGCCACCTCCCATCTGTTGAGTTATGCCCTGAGTATTACCCTGAATAATAGAATGTTAGTGGCTTGTGCCTATCAGGAAGTTTATGTCATAAATACTTAAAGTTCTCCATAAAGTCTAGGCAATTTAGTGGGTAGTACTAAAGATGCACAATTGTGTTGTCAAATGAAAATATGTTTACCTTTCTACCAGCACAATCATACATAAAATATGGAAGATTTCATAAGCTTTCTCTTCTGGGAATTGTCAGTTCAGTGGTTTTTTTTTCAGAATTTTGGTTATTCCTTGTCAACTTAAAGACCAATAACAAGTTTTTCAAGTTGCTCTGAACTGTTTGTAATTTGAATAAAGTTTTAGGTGGAATGCAATGTCTGTGCAGAGCGTGTTGCATGTTTTTTTGGCATAATCAAACTATAGGCCAAGCAACTATTTCATACCACAGTCCACTAGGTGTTCTGCTGGGAGGGCAGTTATAAATATTAAGCAAAATAAGGGAGTGTATGATGAAAAGAGAAGATGTTGTTAGGAGTTTTTATCATAATTGTTTCGTATTCACTTTAGCCTATAGAACTTTTGCTGCTATTGATTCTGAAAACATAGAGATTGCTTTCTAAATGTTGGGGTTTGTCAAATGTTTTTAAATAATCCTCTATTTTTTTCTTTTTTTATCTCCAGGAACTCGCAAAGTGAACCTCACATCCTGGCATCATGACAAAGGCCAGGCAAACTTATCAAATATGACATTCAGTGATGGAAAACTAATTGTTAATCAAGATGGATTCTACTACCTTTATGCCAATATTTGTTTTAGACATCATGAAACTTCAGGAAACTTGACTAAAAGAGGTCTTCAGCTGATGGTGTATGTGATTAAGACAAACCTTAAAATAAGGCGCTTTGATGTGTTGATGAAGGGAGGAAGCACCAAATACTGGTCAGGGAATTCAGAATTTCATTTTTATTCTGTAAATGTAGGGGGTTTTTTTAAATTAAAATCTGGTGAAATGATAAGTATCCAGGTATCAAACCCATTGCTACTGGATTCTTCACAAGAAGCAACTTATTTTGGAGCATTTAAAGTTAGAGATTTAGACTGAATCTTTCTTTAGCGTGCTAAAAATTAGTTGTCCAGAAACAACTTGAAGAACTGAAAATCTTCTGCTATCCAGTTACATCTGTATAAGCCATATATCTCTAAAGACACGTTTTTGTCCCATGCGGGCTCCAGCAGGAGTCCTGCAAATACATGGAAGGCCAAAATTCCACAGTTCTCTTGATTCAGCCTTAAAGCAGTTTTACTTCATTTGTCTCCACTGGCCTCACTGTGCTTTTTGCATTTGGTGTAGTTGAAATCAAAACAATTAATATTACTGAGCTTCTGTTTCCAAGGTCTGCCCTGACTACCCTTACTAGTTTTGGTGCAAACATAGGGCAGAACAGAACCTGGCTCCCAACTTGCATTTAGGGCTCCATTTTGCTTGGAGTTGAGTGTTCTGACCCTGAGACAGCAAAGATCATGAAAGTGTGACTAATCCCATTGCATTTGATGTGGCTTTTCAGATGCTGAGTTAGGTCTGATTTTGCTTTGCTGGATTAGGGTTGGAGAGCTCAGACCATGGCAGAAATGGGTTGGAGAACACCTAAACAGTCCAACTTAACTGTTACCTGATTAATAGGGCCATTCCAGGAAAAAGGGAGATCATCTGGCCTTGCAGTTCTAAAAAGTTAATTACAGGTCATGTTATTATTGTTGCACAGTTAATTGCAAATATAGATTGCCAAAATACGGCGTGCCTTTAAAGTATTACTTTGTGCCAGAACCTGCAAATACATTTTTTTAAACAAAAAGTATGTATTTTTATATTCTGTAATATCTAAAGTTATATTTCAGGTGTAATGTTTTGTGTAAAAAAAAATGTAAATTATATTGTCCTATAGTATTTGATACAAAATATTTAAAATCTCTTGCTGTTTGTATATTTAATGTTTTAAACTGTTTTTATGTACAGACATGTTAAACTGGTGCACTTTTTAATCCCAATGGGAAAAAATGCAGCTATAAGAGGTTGTTTGCAATTAGCAAATGTAATATATATCTTTTGTTCTTCTTAACTTAATAGATTTCTTTTAAACTTGTCAGTTTTAAGGGAGGCGAATTCACACCAATGCCATGAATAATTACACCAGAATGCTGGTCATTGGGTGCCTTTCAAACCTGGAGGGTAATTAAGCTGGCATTATGTAAAAATGAAATTTAAAAAATTAATACACAGTAAGCCCCAGAAATGTTTTAGGGGTATTTATAGTTACTGAACAGGCATATTTGCCTACAACAAAATCTGCCAGTGTTAAATTCTGCAATTGAACAGTAACATTTTTTAGCTTAGTTTCCTGAAAAGTGAAGCTTATGTCATTGCATTGCCTGTTCTTGTCTCCCACTGTAGCTTTTAAAGATCTGCGCCCTTCTGCCAGCTTTGGCAGATGAATGGCAGAGTTAAGAGATACTCTTGCAGGTTTTATGAGGACAGACAGCTGAGAAACACTCAGCCATTTATACATTATTTGTCAGTGGCTGGCCACTGTTCATTTTAGCCAGGAGATTAACTGGGGAGACTCCTGCAGCATGAGTTGTTGCTTGTATAGTGCTTGGCCAAGAAAGATGGGTGGATGGACTCTGAGGGTGGGTACAGGGGCCAGGGGGGAGGGCTGCGAATACTGAGGTGATATTTACAGCACATCTGGACAGGGGACAGCAGCTTGTTGGGTAAGGGGATGAGGGAGGGTTTTGAAGTGTTTGTGTGCTCTATGGCTGGCGTGGGGAAAGCCCACTATTTATTGCAGTAGGAATCAAATCTGTAGGAATTGGGGCTTAATACAAATCCTCAGGCTTTTAATTTTTTTTTTTTGTTAAAGGAACTGAGTTGAATTAGTTGAATTCAAGCAATTATTTTATACTGTATAATAAACATTTCTTTTTAATGTTAATATTGTTTTCTTACAAAATATATTTCTAAGAAAAAAAAAACTTTGTCATTTCCTTATTTTCATGTGTACTCATATTTCTTGTGTAACTTTGGTAATTTTATTCAGATTTCAGAATGTGCAGGCTGGGTATGGTATAACTCGCTGAAGAAAACTGAGGCATAAATCAATTATTTTGAGACAATTACAATGAATTTTATGGAGTTTTGATTTGGCTTCAGATCTATATACACCACTTTCAAGTCAGGTTAGACCTTTAGGGGTTGGAAATTCAGCTGAAAATGAGGACTTCCCATTTATGTTTCACATCAAACAGTTGTCAGTTCAAACCCAGAAATGACTGGGGAACCTGGGGCTCTTTTTATTTTCAGAAGCTACAGGTCACAATCATTTTTTCCCCTATAGAGATCTCCAGTGGCAGGCTGGGAGAAAAATGTCTATTCTGGGGGTTTAAGTCACCCTCTGAGGAGGTGGAGATGGTGGTTCAAGTGATTTGAGAGTGAAGTTAGACTCAGTAGCTGACCTTAGCAAATGCCCACAAATGGTGTGATTTGAAGGAGGGGAGCCACCAGCACTAAAGGTCACCACAATGACAGTGGCTGTGGGCTGTGAGTGTGTTCTGGAGAAGGTCACAGGACCTGTACCATGTGCTGAACCCCTGAGCACAGACTTTTTGGTTGTCTGTGCATCCTAAGCCACCAGAGCTGAGAAAGGGCTCCTGAGGCTCAGCTTAGCAGGCATGTTCTCAATGGGAGGACTGTAAGCATCTACATTTCACAGTACAACGTGAGGCTTTAAATTTCCCTTGTGTGACAACTTTGAAGCCTAAATGGTTTGAGGGCTTTGGTGGTTTTTGCGTTTTTCTTCAGTAGCATCTTCTGGCTGCAAGTTGTCCAGTTGTGTGATTAACTAGGTGGGAGGGTTGTGATAATGTCCTGATGGGGCTTTTTAGGCTGCTGTGAGAGTAGCAATTAGAAGCCAAGCTCTGCTGTCTACAAAATAGAAATCAAATCAAGTAAGAGATCTAATTGTTCTGCCTGTCATGCCTTGGTCCATTCTTAGCCTTTATGCACTCAGAAGAAAGCAGGAAGCTCCCTGCAGAGCTCTAGGTACAGCTTGACTTGGCTTTTTATATCAGAGCAGCCACAGATTGAAAAGCTTCAGTGGTGTCGTTTGAGGCAACCTGGGCATGTATTCCAAGATGATGAAACCTGTCTGCACTACCACTGACCTTCCCAAAACCAAGTCTTCTCCCAGAAGTGTCCGCTCCTCTGTGCCTGCTTCATTTATTTGATTGCTTCATCGGAACGCAGTTAATAAAAAGAGCGGACTGATCAATTAATGGAGAGAGCTACTTTGAGAAGAAAGGGATGTGTTCTAGGCCAAGAAAAGTGCCTGTGTGACTCTTATTTTATAATTTTCAAAATATAATTTTGGTCTGTGGATAGAGGGTGATTATTTGCTGAAAATTGAAGTTAAAAAAATCTTACTTGGAAATAGTTTATTTGCAATTCAGGGTATTTGTGTGCATGTAAACGTCTGTATATTCTTACCATGTTCTTGCTAAGTTAATTTTTATACATGGGGTTATGATTGCATATTTTGGCACCTGGGTACTCCTCCCCCCTCCTTCCCAAGCTTGCTCCAGCCAGTGGCTGTTTCTTTTTCTGTCTATCCCACTTCCTTTTCTCTGCCTCCTTCCAGCTGCCAGTGTGTTCTGCCCACCCCACTCTTACTGACTTTCAGCTCCTTTTCCTGATGGTAGCAACAGCCTTGGTTCAGATCTAGGCATACTCTCCCTGTTTTGGCCCACTTTCAGGTAGCTTTGCAGTGCCTTTGCATGGAAAAGAGCAAAAATTCTGTTTTTCAAAAAGATTTTTGAACCATTGGTGCAAGGACTGAGCTGGATAGGAATGAAAAGTAGTTGGGGAATAAGGAATCAGCAGGTTGGGCATGAAGCAGTCTGTGCTGCCCTTTGGTTTGATGTACCAGCTTTGGAGGGGTCCAGACAATAACCACGTTTGTATTCTGCTGTTAAAAAAATTAGTCTGCAGCAGAACTTAATATAGGTGGCTGTGTGCAACATTTTCCTGTGGTGATTGGAGAAAAATCAGAACAATGCTCTTACACATATACACAGGCAATTTCTTGTTCTTTCTCCCTCTCTGTATTGGTGTCTTGTCCAGTATTTCCTGGTTGCTGTATTTGGGATCACAACCTGCGGACTTTGCCAACTGTTTATTTTTTTTTTAGCTCCCTGGGATCTGACCCTGTAGATACCATACCTTTGCCTAATGTCTCCATTTGAAACTAGCTCCAAAGCAAAGCTCAGTCATGGAAAGCTGAGAAACCTGTGCCAGCTTGAGGTTGTTTGAATCAGATTTCAAAAACTTGGCAACTTCAAATGTTTTTTTCTGCTTTTTTTTTTTAGCATTAAGTCTGGATATACTGGGGTTTCTAGCTGTGTTTCCAAGGAAATATTTGTGCTGGGGTGGAGGTGAGGGCTTGGGTATCTCAGATTTAGTGCTGTCTATTCACAATCCATTTTATGCAGTTTAGGGGAAGGTGTATTTTCTTTCCATTTGTGCAGTGCTCGAGCCATGTGCTGTTTCACTGCCTGCTCCCTTGTGCCACACTGCTTTTCTCCAGACTGCACATCACCAAATGCCAATCAATTTATGCTTGGCTGTGACAGAAGACAAGCAGGAACTCCAATTGCTTTCAGTTCCCTACATGATGCAAGTCACAAAATGACAGATTCATTTTCCCAGCCTTCTGGATGGGATCATGATGTGGCTGGTTCCTCATCCTGTAGGTTCCAAACTCCCTCAGTCCCTGTCTGTACTATCAGGTGTGAGTAAGGATGCCTAGTGGGTGGCTTTGGGGACCCCAGCTCCTTAAGGGGAAGATTCACAAATACGATCCCCTCCCCCCGTCCTCTCCACCACAGGTGAGTATTTTGGAGGCACTGAAACATGATCACATGGTAGATAACATTTTGGGAACTTCAGATACTCTCTTGTACATTTTTTTTTAACTTAGTATCCCACTGGTTTGAAGGATTTTAACCTGCTCTTCACTGTTAATTGGGATGGGTGTAGTGTTTGGAATTTTTTTTCTTACTATGTCACAAAAAAGCACTGGATGCCACAATCACAATCTTCCATGGACATCATAGATAAAATCAGTTCACCACAGATGTTGCTATGAATGCAGAGTGGAGCAGACCTTCCTTGCTTGTCCACAGTTTACTGCTGTGCCTGCTCTGACCCCAGCACAGGCTCTCCACTCTGCTGGTGTCCCAGCGAACTGGTACAGCAAATGTAGTAACCTGCACGTGCTTATTCTGCCCTCTGGGAACTAATAACTAATGACACTGCTTTAGTTAGCAACCATTTGCACACTGACTACTCTTTTCCTGTGTAAACATCTCCCAGATATAATGTTTTCTGCGTTACATAGAAGTTTGAGCAGCTCCCTGCTTGACTTGTGGCTTTTTTGCAATGTTAATGTCACTAAGTGTTGTTTTGTTTCTGCAGTGCAGTATCGCATGCAGTGACACATCTAAAACAAAACAAGGTCCATCTGGTTTAATGTTTTATCTCTCATCATGGCTCCAGATCTTTGCTCTGGGAAAACATCTGCAGTTCTGGAAATGGATAGTTAGGTTATTTCTGTCCTGCTAACTGGAAGAGGGCTGGAGTTACGAGGCACTGAGTGGTGGACAGCCTCGCAGTTTAAGCCAGCTTCCCTCTTAAGCAGAAGATCCTACCAAGTTGCAACCCACTAAGTTGTGTTTTTATCACATGAAAGTGAGCATATGTGCTGCACGGCCCAGGGCTCGACAGAGTGGGCTCCTCCAAGCAGGTCAAAAAGGGCCGGTGTGAGAGCTAAAATAAACCCCTGTGGGCAGCAAAAGTCCAGGACTGAGCCTCTGTCTTTTTTTTTTCTTTTAATC